AGCTTATTTTGTCATATTTAAGTGCAGTATGCACGTAATTTTGATCAACCGTCATGTGTGTGTGTGTGTTTGTGTGTGTTTGTGTGAACGTATCTACTCGTCCACATGCCCATTCACAACAGATCTGTAATGAATCAAAATAATCAGCTTTGATACGGATATGTGTTCATGTTGAAAATTCCACACTGAACTCACCTTCAATTTGTGACTGAAACTTGAAATTCTCCTCGAAGTACCATGTGCACTCATTTTCCAGACAAATAGCCCATAGTCCCTCATTCATATTATTTATGTTTCTGTATTCTAGCCAATACGGCGTAGCGAAAGCAATCATTATAGCAAGGTTCGTCAATACAAGAAATATCAATCCCACGATGGCACCGCACGTGTTCTGCATTCTGCTAGCTGTCCTGTTTAATATGTGAAGGAGACTCCGCTTTGACCGTTATCAAGATAAGAACTTTATAACACTACAACTATTAATGGCGTGCAATAGAATGACAGTAATACGTAAAACACACAGCCTCCGTTAGAGAATGCACAGCTAAACGTTAGAATCTATTTGAACAGCACTGGTTAAAATCCCTGACATGATATAATAGCAACACAGCAAAGTGGCATGTTATCAAGGGCACCAGGGTGCTCTGGTAGGATAGAATACTAGACAGGGACGCTGAGTGAACATTTGTGAACACTGCCCGCTCTGGGTCACTTCTTGTAGGATACGTGAGATTGTGGTATATCAGCCTCTCCGCTGTTGCTATATTTAGGTTAGAGGCACAGTACAGTTGCTGTGAAGAGTTAATGGGCGTTGCCTTAGCAACAAACCGTGGATCAGACCTTCTTAATTAGCTAGTAAATCATATTCGTATTTTTCAAGCCGGAAAATCTCAACAACAGATGATATCGGTTATGTACCACCACTTGCACACCATGGGGGAAATGCAGCTGTGTACCAGTGTTAACTTGTTAATTAAAATGTTGTGATCAAAGCCTTGCTATGCTAAATTATGACACACGTCATTTTCTTTAACACTTCCAAATTTGCTTAAAATATGTATTCGTCATCTTACGACTCCCCGTCATCGTTTTCATTGTTGTTGTCATTTCTTCTTCGTCTAAATTTCACAGCATATATAATACAGCAACTTTAAAAGTACAAAATTAGCAAAAGGAATTGTATGTAGGGTTCGTATCTCTAAACTTTAAGAAAGAGGACATAGGGAGTATCTGTATCAGATGCTACCAACTCATTTTGATTTTGTCTTTTGGTCCTTAAACAAAGTGCAAACTTCTTTGTGGCTGTTTCGACCTTATATTTACTACTCCGATGGCATAAGTAGTTAGAAAGCCAGCCTCGAATGCGGGACGTCGCTGGCTTGAATCCCAGCCGAGTCATACCAAAGACTTATAAAATGGTGCTATCGGATGCCTCGCTATGAACTCAGCATTAAGAGGTCAGAGTTATGACTAGTCGGCCTGGTGTCAGGATATTTGGATGGGACATCATGCTACTGTCTGCAGCCTGATTCCCCAGTGCTAGACATCATTATAAACTGTCTCACGGCAGACATCGAAGTGATATGACTGAAAAATTGACCTTAAAAATCCAAATCACCCTATCACCCACTCACCCACGACATTATATTATGTGCAGACTTCTTTATATGCGGTACTAATATTCTTATACCGTGCAGTTAAACGGAAAACTAAATCGGTCGAAACTTCCTTATATTCGGTGCAAAGTACATTACGATGGTACAAAAATCAGGCAGAACATTCGCGGGCGCGCGAAGGGGTCTTAACGGATATTATTGTTTCACTACACTGATAGATGGACGTCTTAACATATATATAACTTTAAAACTGTTTAAAAATATTTTAAAATATTCATATATTGGAGTACAAATCATAAAAAAACATCATCATCATTAGTATAGGTTATATCATTTATCTCATTGGCTGGTGATAATAATATCTTTTATCTATACCAACCTCTCAAAACTGTCACGCAATGGCAGAGTGGTTAGATTTTATCTGTACTTTTTTGTACAATTATTATTATTATTATTATTATTATTATTATTATTATTATTATTATTATTATTATTATTATTATTATTCTGCAATAGGTCTTTTTCGAATGACAATTGACCAAACAACTGTCCAGTGAGACGTAAGAGCTAAAACTTTGAGACAATATCTGGACATCTTTCGCTAAGTTCATTATTCCAAAATTTGTTTGAATGAAAATATCAATAGAATAGAATTTGGACGAATTTGACTGACGGAGCTTATAAGACTCGTAATTAGTACCATATGATTACTTTTATGTAGTTAGAGATGAATACTTTTATGTAGTTAGAGAGTCTCTTTACTTTTACCATTGTAAAGTACTTTGCACACTTGGTTTCAAGCAAAAGGGTTTACCAGAAGATTATATGATACATAGATCCGGCCTGCAGAAAAAAAGATAATAATTAAACATTGAGTATAGAAATAAAGAAAAAATAACTAGTGACTTTTGTAGAAAGCGCCTGTAAGATTTTGACTAATATATTAAGTTTCATTCCTGGGACAACTGTTGGCTTTCATATGAACAGACACTACTAGCAACATCTCTTTTGTAAATTCAGTTTGGAAGGCAAAGAACTTTTTTGAATTGAATTAATAAATATCAAATATTTCGAAATGTCAACATGTAATTAAAATAAGAACAAACGTAAAGTGAAACTTTCATCATATTACTTATCAAACTTATGAATTAATTACAAACTCAAAAGAAGAATGGGGATAACCAAGTAAGATAATTTCACATTGCAACCATTCACATTATTAACTGAAACATATTCAAATATTTATAATAAATAATTGATTACTTTTCTTTCGACTCAAAATCTATTATAAAACAATGTATTTCCTCTGAGTAATATTAGTCAAGATGTGTAATGTTAATAACCCTATTTTTTTTAATACTCTAATTACTCTTTATAGACACCATTTACAACCATAGCGTCGTTGTTTTTGTGCTTTTATATTTATTCGTAATATTCCATTTTGATACATATCATTGTATCAGATAACCCTTATGTAGCCTTACAACGCTATTGCGCCGTACAATCCATAATCAATGAGTACATTAGACATTTCCTGAACTTGCAATCTCTCTCTCTCTCTCTCTCTCTCTCTCTCTCTCTCTCTCTCTCTCTCTCTCTCTCTCTCTCTCTCTCTCTCTCTCTCTCTCTCTCTCTCTCTCTCTCTCTCTCTCTCTCTCTCTCTCTCTCTCTCTCTCTCTCTCTCTCATTGTCTGTCTCCTAGCGTGCTGTCACTTCTCTCTTTTGTTACACCACGATGCCTTCGTGTATAAATATATCCTTGATTACGTGTGACCTGAGTATGACTTGTCTGCTATATCATCTGTTGTGTCCGGTAGTTGTACAACTTCTTTAAAAATATTTTAATTTGATTAGAGCATAACGAAGAGTGAACTAGAGAAATATAACACACCTTTAAAAACTCCGCCTAAATCCTATTTAACTCGTAGTACTTTTTCTGTTTTTATTCTTTTTGTCAACAGTTAATTATCAGCAACTATTACAGTTTTTGATCCAGGTATGCACGATGTTATTAATATCATATTTTCTTCACCTGCATTACTTTGATCTGTGCGAGAAGACTAATTATCATAACAAAGAATGATAACTTACAATTATTTAAAGGGTTCTCCATGTCAAATGAAATTGCAGCAGACATAATGTTTTTACATTTTTAATTCAGTCTTAAAACCAAGCATACCTTTTCACATCTTATGATGATAATAAATCTATTGACATATGAAACTGAAATACTCAATGTCCGAAACTCAACGTGCTGGGCTTGCTTTAATTTGTGTATTTCAGGTTTTACAACGGTTTATAATGCCCTAGTTACCGATGTTGAGGTGACATGGTCGGCACAGGTACTGAAATTCCAATTCAAGGGAAGTAGCCTAATTGACGAAAATTTATTTAAAGTTACTCTATGGAGTTGTCTCCCTTCCTTCACGCACCTACACATTTTAACTGTCGTTTTTCTTTCAACATATGCCTGACAAATCTAATTTGTGATGTATTTATTCAACATGATTATGTGGGTCTTTTTTTCTTTTGGCTGATGTTTGATTTAGAAATTGTAAGCCTTGTTCTTATAGCAACCTGAAGTGATTTGTTGTTGGTTTTATGACTTTATTTCAATCACCAAATAATCGATGCAGAAAATTGTAATATCTATACTAAATCAAAATTTGTCTCTTTTGTGTAGACATCAGTGGTAGTGCATAAATGAATTGTTTTGTCCCTACATTTCGTTTTTATAAGACACATGTGTTGTTAAGAATTGAGAGAAATATCTAAGTCTGATTTTGGATATTAATGTTTTTGTAATAGTTTAAATGCACTAAATGCCAGACTGTTTTTTTTCTGTGTGTGTGTGTGTGTGTGTGTGAGAGAGAGAGAGAGAGAGAGAGAGAGAGAGAGAGAGAGAGAGAGAGAGAGAGAGAGAGAGAGAGAGAGAAAGATTTCCATTTTTCACTTAGCTTTCACAAATTTTTTAGTCATATTGCTAGGTTGTCTGCAGTATGGTAGTGACGTCTAACGTTTGGGCATCATGCAGCAGACATATAACATCATGTTCCATCCAGTCAAATTATCCTGATACTAGGCTGACCAGTCCAAACACTAACCTAATCTTAAGAACTGGAGACCAATAACATTACAAAAGGTTTCATAGAAAATAGCCTCCGTTTGTACAGTAAATAAATTGAATAGCATCTTACCTCACTTTATACACGAGGATCATTCTGGTTTTATTAAAGACAGATATTTTGGGGAAAGCATTGCAACCATGAATGATTTAATCTATTATACTAAAAACACACAAAAATCCTTGTCTAATGCCATTAATTGCCTTTGAGAATGTCTTTGGTTCATTTCTATGGTCATGCATTAAGAACGTTTCATCTTTCCTCCGGTGGCCTATTGGTTAGAGCGTCAGCTTCAGATGCAGAAGGTAGCGGGTTCGATTCCCGATCGAGTAAATCTAAAGAATTTAAAAAATGGTACTAACAGCTGCTTTGCTTGGTACTCAGCTTTAAGAGGTTAGTGTCAAGGCTGGTCGGCCAGGTTTCAGGACAATGTGACTGGGTGGGACATCATGCCACATGTCCGTGGCATGATGCCCTATGATGCCCTAGTGCTAGAAAAATTGTCACAGCTACGTTAAAAATCTAAATCACACACACATACACACAAATATATATAAATCACACACACACATATTTTTTTATATCACAACACGCTAAAAGATCATTTTATGTGATTCTGATTGGTTCAAATAAGCCCATGAAATTATTGTGAGGTATTTTCTTTACTGATTATCTGGGATCGTGGGAAAACATTTTTACCCCGCCTCCTTGAATGTTTTGATTAAAATTAACATTTTTTTGCGATCATTTTTTAACTTGAGTGGCAAATGGAAATTGAGGAAATGTTATATCTCAATACGGATATGTTACCCCCAAAGGGTTTCGTTATTTCATCTTTAGCAATATTATCATAAGCAACATGGCGTAAAATTGCAAGAAAAGAACGCCAATAAGGAGTAAAATTAAGGGATAGCGGGTGGCAGAGTGGGGTGGGGTGCTCATATCAGTAGCATAGATTTAGAATCCACTATATATACAAGCGTGGTTTAAATGTTAACTTAAAGAAGTAAACAAACTCACCTCTGTTCACAGAATAATCTCGAGATGAATGGGTCTCCTAACTGACAGAACTTTATCCAACCACATCATCTTTACGTAGAAAATAAATTTGTTGACGTCTTCTGTACAGTCTAATTTTACAATAAAACACTACAAATATCAGGTCACAAATGCATTGCAGTAAATGCATGAATTTTTGCATCAGGTAATCCTATTTCACATGAAAATCACAACAATGTATCGTTTAGTTCTAAAAGATATTTAGGGTACACGTGTACTCTGCTGTCGGCTTAGTGTACTGTGTACCGTTTCAAACAATGTGGCAGCATCACATTGAATTCATCATTCTGTTTTGACAAATGATTTTTTGGTTATAAAATGTTCTGTTTATTCAGATGGAAGCTTTTTTCTTTGATTTATAGTTTGTAAAACAGTACAATCTACTTTTACCAGTTCGGCTTTGTTTGGGGGTATATTATTTTGCACAACAAATGAAAGGTACAACGCCTGTCAGAATGAACGAAATTATTCTTTCTTCTATCTAAATAATTTCCACTGAAATAAAAACTATGTGATAAATGAATCTGAAATGAGTAACGTTTTAATATTAAATCATTACCCATTTGAGATCCTATATTTATGTTACGATCCTGTAGTTGAATTACATTTGTGTTAGGATTTGAATTTTTCTAGTTTATTTTTAGTTTAATTTTGCTTCATTTTTATGTTATTAAATATAATTATTGTTATGATGATGATTATGTTGACATGGGTCTGCTGTTTGTTAGAAATGTTGTGTTTATTTTAAACGTAAATGTGACTCGTGCAAGCGTGATTTTCGCATGAGGGCTTTGTCGTCACAAGTAAACTGTCTGGAAAAGCTATGTATATGATTGGCTGTGACCACATCATTACTTGTTTAAGCTTTTGTAATACCCAAATATGATTTTGAAATCGTGTGTATCCTTCGTGCGTGTGTACAGGGTTTGACGAATTAGTTTGTTTTAAATGCTTAGTTACTTGTAAAAAAATATATTCAGTCTTAGTCATTGTCAGGCAGTCGTGGTCATAACATCTATAGAGTCACATCTTTCTAATACCTTAAAGGGTATTTCTGTGATGGGAAGAGTGGAACAATATATGTATGGTTAGCTGTATTTTATTTACTTTCTAAATGATTTTTTTTCCTAGTGAACAACATTAATAGCTTTGGACAAAGACATTTTCTGAAATTACTTCTAAATTGGAATTGAACATTGCAAATTGTGCTTCACAGTGAAAATTCTGGACTTGTTTGTGTTAGCCTTCGTCTGATGTCATCATATTCCATCTTCAACCAGAACTGAGATTTTGACTGTATCAATTTAGAACTGTTTATTCATGTGGCTTGTGTGTTTTTACAACTTAAGAACAAATATGTGGGCCATCTTTGTCAATCGTAAGTCTGGTTGCATACATTTACCTTTCCTCCGTGTTTTGTAGGGAAATAAATTATCTTTGTTAAAATTTACAACACTTGAACGAACCGATATGTAGCACAACGGAATATAAATTGAATCTCTCAATATGCAGATAATGTTTTAAAATCTGAATGGGATTATTAGATCACTGAGGTCTGCTCTTGATCTTTAATTTATTCTCAATATTCTTAAATTAGTACAAATTTTCACAAAACTAATGCTATCTTTTTTGGAAATAAAGTTGGAATTTAGGATCTGTTACATTATTCTGTGTAAATCATTCGACTAAGCTTGGAAAAATGGTACAAATAAATTATTAAAATAAATTAAAGAAATGGCATTAAACCAGTTGTCGAGAAGATCCATCATTTCGTAAAATCAGTTTTAAAGGGTTTATCATTATGTAATTAAGCCATCTACTTCTATCTTTACGACGGCCATAAAAAGGTATAATCGAAAATAACAATATATTTTATACATTTATGTGAAATAATTATGTTGATAAAATTACAAGAAATTTTTCTTTAAATGAATACGATTTGGAAGGGTGTCTGAAAATGATATACGTATTTGTATTCGAAGGAGCATTAAGGATCACTTAGATTAGACTATTTACAACTACTTCAACAAAATGGAAACAACTTACCAAGGCATCTTACAAAATTATCACTAATTTCAGTTTGTTTGGGGGCAGACGACCTAAAGCAAAATATTAATCTAGTTCATATTTTCCGAAGAGATTATTTCTGACGTCATCTGTTTTGGGAATATAACATAGTTAAGTGGCTTCGGATTGCTTTGGTTTCTGATAACTACTTGTAACAGGAAGAATTTTGAAGAAAAATAATACTGCACGATAACTGATATCAATCTTGTTGCAGGCAAAGTGACATGTAACAATTAATTTTGACGCATGGGCCAGGCCCGTATTATATCACTAACCTAATTTATTTGAAGGCTTGATTGATTTTTAATTAGGACCTGTTGGGATAACTGTCAGACCGATAGAGATGCAATGTTAACTCGAGGATTACGTATCAGGAAAGTCAAAGTAGTCAAATCCAGAGACAATATGTACCATTTGGAAATAGATGAGTTTTCTTCCAGACATAGCAATAAAGATGAAATAGAAGGAGATATTCTAATTTTGATGGGTATGTTAATTGTTTGGCGGTTAGATACAGTTAAGCCGGATTAGTTAAACTAAATGAGGGCTGTGTATTTTCGAGGCGAAATTCAAAGTTTTAAGTATTCACCCTCGCGAATTTAGCCAGTCTGAGTTTTTCAAAGGAAGGGAAAGCCCGACTCGAAGAAATATAGCAAGAGTGATTCGGCCTGGTAGAAAGCTAGTCTCGTAAAGCAATAGCGGAAAATTAGTTCCGTATGTTCACCACAAAGTGTAAAAGAGATTAGACAGTCTAGCTACGATTGATGACTCGAAGAGATTGAAGAGATAGAGGGAAGTGACCAAAGCTATACGGCAACTCTAACAACGTTGATTTTGAGAGGACATAAAATCATGACTAAAAGGAGATAATATGTTCAAAATGGAAAATTTAATGATCGAAAGATATATTTTCTCCGCATATATAAATATGCGGTAACAACCTTTCGAAACCTTCACAGAAAATGTTGGTCTATTTTAAGGAAGAAACGGTGACATTGATACGTTTGCAGAGGTAGATTAAAACCGGTTTGGAGAGCTATTAAATAACGAAATGGATACCTAAATGACGAAATGGATACCTCAATGACGAAATGGACACCAAAATGACGAAATGGATACCTAAATGACGAAGTGGATACCTCAATGACGAAATGGATACCTCAATGACGAAATGGATGCCTAAATAATGAAATGGATACCTCAATGACGAAATGGATACCTAAATGACGAAATGGATACTACAATGACGAAATGGATACCTAAATGGATACCTAAATGACGAAATGAATACCTAAATGACGAAATGGATACCTAAATGACCGTCTGAAACGCAGTTTAGTGATATTGTTAATCGTGATTTGCATATATTATAGACCAGTGAGCAATACACTGGGAACATTTGTATTCTCTTATTCAAGTTAGATAATAAACAGAAGTTAATGAAATCGTCGGAACATAGAATCAGTCCTATTGTAAGTCAAATTACATCACACATGATGCAACCGCCCTACGTGAAGATCTGAAAGCGAGAGCTTAGGGGTAATGTTATGGCGACTTTTAAATTATCCAGTGGTAATGCATATTTCAAAATCTTAAATTGATTAAAATGATTCAGTACACTTTGATACCCTTCAGCCATACTGCTCAGCCTCCCAGATGCGCATATATACGGCTTTTTCTGATTGTCTTATAAAATCAGCGATTATAGTAATAACATAGGTCACCAGAACATGACTTCTAAGCGGTCGGTGTCAAATCTTCATGTACGTCAATGGATGTTTGATTTTAATCAGACTGCACATACTACTACTACTACTACTACTACTACTACTACTACTACTACTACTACTACTAATAATAATAATAATAATAATAATGATAATAATAATAATAATAATAATAATAATAATAATAATAATAATAATAATAATAATAATAATAATAATAATAATAATAATAATAATAATAATAATAAAATTAATAATAATAATAAAAATAATAATAATAATAATAATAATAATAATAATAATAATAATAATAATAATAATAATAATAATAATAATAATAATAATAATAATAATAATAATAATAATAATAATAATAATAATCATAATAATAATAATAATAATAATAATAATAATAATAATAATAATAATAATAATAATAATAATAATAATAATAATAATAATAATAATAATAATAACGAG